TTTTAAGTACTGAAGTAAGTTTTTTTAGGAACCTTGCTTGTAAATTTTAACCGTTCATTTAAATGAGAGAACAATCCTAGCATAACCGGTGTTAATAGAACTGCAGCAGTGAATATACATGCCAGTAACACAATGTTCCGGAGAATATAATTTGATTAAATACCAGCTCCCTTCAGGGATCGTTTGAGAGCTTACATGTGTCATGGTAAGACAATTCACTCAGTCTAGATGGACAGAAAGCATCAACAATTAGTCATGTCAGGCCTGCCAGCACAATTTACCTGAGATTTGGAATTCAGGTTCTGAAAAAGGGCATTTGGCTTATTTAAATACCAGGGTTATTCAGAAACAGCAAGCAGAGTAATCAAAGATCTGAGTGCACAGCTCCTTTAGTCAGGAACCTTGTTGGATTTCTTCAGACTGACAGCAGTGGGTCAGTCTTGCATTTATGTCCCTTTTGAAATGTGGTGACCAAAACACAGATCTACAAATGAGGTCCTACACTTGTTAAAGCCACCCACCATGTCTCACAGTCGTCACCATCAACCAGAGGAGAGAGATGTGGTTGTCACGGACAACACTGCAAACTCACAAGTACCAAGTTTGTTCCAAGGGTTTCTGCTTCAAAAGCAGGATACCCTGGCCAGTTTGAGCTCACTCAGCACCTGGCCTGACCTGAATTCAGGCCAGTCTTCTGATGACAGGCCGAAGTCTGGACTGGAGGGTATGTAGCTTTATAAGGTGAGCCACTCAGGAGACCCCTGGAAAAACTGCACGGTAATCCCTTGTTATACAAACTTAAATTGTTCTTTGAAAACTGGTAAAAACTCATGAACCAGAAATTAAATTCCCATTACTTACTTCGTTATAATCTCTGAATGGATCCAGAACTAAAAAATGTTCCCTCAAACACACAGTAAACTTTAAAACAGCCCATAATGGTACCTAACTAACATTCCTGGTTAATTATTAAAAAAACAAGTTTAAAGTTGTTAGTCAATGAAGAAAAAGATAGGAAAGAAAACAATAACACTCTTGCTTATTTACAGTACAGTTGTTAGCAAATGCATAATCATTAGGTACCATCCTGTATTATATGCACTTAACCCACAAGCGTTTATTATAAAAAAGTTAAAATGTAATAAAAAAAATCCTCATCTGAGAAAGATGCCAGAAAAGAAGAATCTTGGCAATGCTTTACGAGACCCCAGCTTGTAGGGAGTTAAAATCTGATCATTGAATGAAAAAACAGGAATTACTACCAGTACATCTCATATATCCTAAAACGTGTGTAAATGAAAAAATTCATAGTGAGGGATTAAAAATCTCAACTTTACATCTACAGTAAATGGCAGCAGATAATAGTCCTATATGGTATAAACGTTTTAAAATATTTCAAACCCACAAATGTAAGCAGTCAATACACCAGATGACTGTTTTTATTCAACTTTCCTCAGGGTTACCTGTTACTTTCCAGTGCCAGCCCACTGGTAAATAACCCCCCCCCCGAAGGCAGGGTTTCAACTTTGATAAAAATCTAACTGACACGGATCAAGAGAAAAACTGCAGAGACTTCCTCAGAAGCTGTGCAGAGTACTGTTTACAGCACAGGATTGATAGGTTGTGGGTTGTCATCCCAGATGGGACAATGCTGTACAATTAAGGTATTTCACTCAGATTGCTTTCGGAAAATGCCCAGTTGTGAAGGTGCAATTGGCAGTCACTTAAAACGAATGTGCCAGCCAAATAAACGTAACCTCTTACAAGGTTTAGATGACATCTGATATATTACATTTTCAAATCCGCTACAGGACTAGAACATTACAGAGAATGATCCAGTTAATAGTCAAAACGATTTACAATGCCATTAGTGTATATACACAGGCCCTCTTCTTGAGAACCACATTTTTCATGGAAATTGCAGAGATGCCGAAATGCAATAATAGATTTTTCTATTCTTATATGATGAACATTTTCCACTATATTCTGGCCTTTGGGTTTGATATTTGAACTAATTTCTTTGACCCCTTTACCTGCAGGATTCTGAAGCATATTTAATTATGCAAATAATTTAAAAATGAAGCTTTTTCTTCAATTACCACCTATGTATTGCATCATATCTATAGTTGCATTATGGATTATTGGGATATCTTTAACCCCTGGATTTTTTCTTGAGAGTAAACACTATATATACCAAAGATCCTTACCTCAGTCACCTTGACATTGGCATTGAACAGTCCAGGTGTGTGGGTTTGTGCTGTTAAAAGGCTCAGGCTTCACCTTGGAGGGCTGCATCCCTTCAGGGCTGGAAAAACTGGAGCCATTCTCCATGGCTGGTTAGTCACAGACTATGATGCACCCTTGGGTATCGAAATTCCTAAGTGATGATTAGCCTACACTTTCCTTATTAAGTACTTAACACGAGTATGCCTTGGAGCTCATGCAAGCTTTAAAAGACACAAGAAAGAGCAATAACACCTATTTTTAACAGCAGCTGGAAGATGCAATAGCAGTTTCCTGCTTAAAAGCTCATTTTATTCAATTTTACCTTTTCATAAACAGTGGAATTCTGACCATTTCTTCCAACTCTCAAATTTGGCCCAATAAAAAAAAGGTTTAAATGTTTTATTTTTTTAAGACATCATGCTCAGCAACAGGTTTTCCAGTTTCTTATGCTTCAGTGACATAACATTTTCTCCTTTACAAACAAAATTGAGTTCTCTAGAACAGGGCATTTTGAAAAGCAGTGAACCCGCATCTCCTTCCAAACTAATGAAGCCACCGTGCAGATTCCTAAGTATTTTTTCTCGCCCAAAGGACCGAAGGTCAGCAGAAATGACAATGCTGACGTGAGAGGAGATACATTTCCTGATGGTAGCAACCAAGTAACATGGTTGTGATTTTCCATTTCCTACTTGGGGAGGCCTGGAGAGAGGAATGGCAGCTGAACTCAGTAAACTGGAACAAAAACAAATTACACTAGTTGAGCTCCGCTCTTAATAGTTACCATCTATTAAACTGCAGTCACGAGTGTGGTAACATACACAGGTTGGTTGATTGGAATGCCCTTTCTGTAAGGACCCCACACCCACATGACTGAGATGGCCAGCTAAGCCCTACAGTGTATTAGTGTGAAAATACTCTAACAGAGCTCTTTAATGGAATTAAGCCATCCATCCATTTTCTAACAACTTCACCCAATACAGAGTCGTGGCAGAGCTGGAGCCTCTTCAGGCAAGCGATGGGCACGAGGTGGGGTACACCTTGGTCAGAATGCCAGTCAATGACGGGGCACACGGACATAAACACAGACACGCACACACCCCTACCAGGGCTGGCCAATCTTCACAAAAGCCAATTAAGCTACTGGCATACCTTTGGACTGAGGGAGGAAACCCACATGACCACAACATGAACGTATAAACTCCAATCAGACGGCACCCCAGGAATTCAACCCAGGGCCCCAGAGCCGTGAGGCTGCAATGCTAACCACTTTGCTGCTGGTGCAGCGCAAGTAACGTTAACATTATATTTATAATTCTCGAGACTATAACCCCCTCAACTAAGCCAATACCAGTAGCTCTATGTAGAAAGGAAAGTAAAAAAGTGCTTGAGTAGGAAAGCATAAAAAAGCTTCTGAAAATAAAATATAGACGTGGAAACATGCAGAACCGATAATAAAAAAAAATCATCACGTAACAAGAGTTCAAAATAGAAAAAAAAAAAACTGTCATTTCAAGTCCCTGAATGAATTCTGGAACTATAAACGCCGGATGCAGTCTGCTGCATCAATTACTGCTCCAGCAAACTTAACTTACAACAACCTTCAAAATCCGTGTTCAACCCATCAATCAGAATCGTAAAAGACCCTATGTGTGTTTTTAGCATTGTCAAGAGTTACACAAGAACTGACTTTATGCCTTGCTCTGGTTCAAACTGAGGATTTTTAAATGATTTTACTAAGCATGCCTTTTACAGAATAATCACCCAAGCCAAAACAAGCAAGCTTTAGAGCCAGTCAATGGAATCGGGCTTTGCTGGAAAACCTGACACAGCAGTCACTAGTGCATGGCACACATAATATGCTCCTACCCACTGCCACCTTACAAAATTGTGGGAATACTAAATTACTCACCCCTTAGGACCCCCCAGTAAACTAATGGTACAGATTTGATTACAAAGCACAAATTCCCAGGGTGTTGGTATTCTCTATACTGAAATGATTTTCTACAAAGCTACTGTACCTGCGGACCTCATCATAAATATTGCAGCCGTCTGCCCCTGCTTTCCTTACCCATTGACCAGTGCATAGTAAGTGCTCCTTTGTATGAACTGTACCTATTTTACTACTGGAAATTCGTCAGCCTTTCCCCTACTGTTTGATGTATGTGCATGGTGAACTGCACCTTGTTTGGCTATGGTATAATCTGATGCGTCTCATCACCACTCCATGGATGTTTGCTGCTATTTCTCCTCACATGTTGCTCCCAGAGCAACACTTTGCTCACCTTAGCGAGAGAAAGGGAAGAACAGTTGCCCCAGTGCAAAGCAAATAAGGACGTTGTATAAATGGTGTTTAGTTGGTAGTCCCCAATTTTCAAACCAATGCCCAAGTATTGTAACCAGAGAAAATGTGCTGCATGGTTTGCTGTCTTTCACATTAAATGGTAAACCAAGGTCCTGGCTACTTAATTAAAGCTGTCCCACCACAGGTTGCAAGAACAGAGATGTTTACCCTGATATTCTGGATAAATTCCCTTTTGGGCTTGCTCTGGCAAATTTGGTGGCTCGGCAATACATGTCTTAAATCTTTCTTTGGAGAAACTTTGTTGCACCTCTCTACTCAACCCCAAGAGTTAGTGCTTTCTATTGCACTTGTAACAACAAAACTCCTCATTACCTGATGCTCTCCACAGGACCAGTTTTGATGCCTTGTGTTGTTTCAGCAAAAACCCTGAAAACCCTGTGACCTACAAACTGTAGGACAGCGATACAACAAATTTATATAGAGAATTTTATTGGTACAGCAGACTGATAAAAACTGACTGGGGAAGTTAGTAAGCAATTCTTTAATGTACTGCCAATAACGAAATATTAGAAATTAAAATTTCTATGCATTAAGTTCACTTGAAATTCTGTTACCAATACCGAAGTGTAAAATGTAACAAATACTTTGATTTTTTTACCTTTTATCTTCAAACTGGTGTTCAGCATTTTTCTTTTTTAAGCAAAAGCACCTTAGCACCTACACATTTAATGTTCACAAGAGTAAACAAATTCATGGAAAAAGGAAAATACACAGTGTCACATATAAAAAGGAAAACCCTAAAATAAGTTTTTGTTTGATCTCATTTCACAGTAAAAGTAGGTACGGAAAAAACACTTGACATATATTGCTTAAGGTCCATCATTGAGTTTCAGTTTGACAGATAAATTGGGTGTTTACTTTAAAGCTGAAAGATAAAAGCTATACAATTTCCCCCCAAATCAGAAAATAAAACAATGAAAAAAAAAATTAAAGAGATTATTTACATTTTTTTTCTCTTTAGTTTAGATCTCTACATAGCCAGCGCACATCACAATGCACAACAAACCACAAATAATGATATTATAATGTGTGTGGTAAAAGCTTGTGACATTAAAGACTGCAATAAACAGTGTCAGCAGATGCAAGGCTGTTCATAGTCTTTCACCCTCTCCGTTCTGGGCTTTTGTGAAGCTTACAGCCCAAGTGCCAATAATTATTTTCCCCAATATCCCAGCGTTCATCTTCGGTCCCTCCTGGCTGTCTTTCGCCGCACCTGAAAAGTACAATGGACTGATGATTTTATGCAGGTTTTGGTATGTGCTCTGCTGTTAAAACACCTTTTTTTAGGATGTGGTGTGCAATTCCTACATCACAAGATCCGCAGGATCTATGTTTTCTTTTCCAAATGTTTTTATCTTTACATTAGTAGGTCATCTCTAGAAATTACGGATCAATTTAATATTGATACTAAGTGGTCCAACACACAATAACTTTACTGTTGCAATGAAATGTTACAGGGAACGGCTCTGACTGGAGCTTTTTCCTGGTCGAATCCACCATTTTTAGAATCAACAACATGAAAAAAACAGTTGAATTCGAGGGTTTTGATGATCTGAAATTGCCATATTTACTCAATGACAAATCATGTCTGCTAACCATGTCAGTACCAAATACATAAAGAAAATAAGACTTTTCTCCCCATTTTATAACAGATGGCACTCTTTTAGATCTTGATTTCTAAGACGGAAACACATTTATTATAATAATTTCAAAGACTGTTTTCATCTAGATGAATTCTCCGAACTCTACTTAAGGATGAAGTGCAGGAATAATAATAATCGGAAATAATTTATGTCAGACTCTAAAGTAGAACCCCTCCCTAAAGTGTTATCTGCTTATGAAGAAAATGCACCTTGGGCGATCCGGTGGTTTCCTCTTCCTCCTCTGCTTCCTCGTCCTCATCTTCCTCCTCTTCCTGTGCTGTGTCCTCTATGCTTGCTTGAGACACCTCCATCTCGTCAGCCGAGTCGTTCTCTTTACTGGCTGCTGCTCTGGAGCGAGACCCCCGACTGCAGCACAGAGTGAGAGCACCTCCTTAAGAGTCTGGAGAGTCCCCGCGCTCATTCCTCAGCCTAGCAACTAACAATGCATTTTGTGACACGGTACGTGCAACTAAAGCTACCTTTTAGATTTCCTTGCTCATGCGCTCCAAAATAAATCCAACACCTTAAAATAGGTAAAACGACAACATTTGTAATTAATGTTGTTTCTAGAGTCGTGCTGAAATTCATGTACAGAACAACTGCCAAAAAGGAAGAAAAAAATGAAAGTAAATCACATATGAATATTAATGAGCTGCAATGCAGCTCTTCGGCAACAGCATTCCACCCACCTCATCTTTAATCGATTACACTGTGTGGGTACCATGCAGTAAGCTGCAGTAAGAACATTTTGTTACCCAGGACCGGTCAAACACCAATAATCCTACTCTCGCTGTGACACATAATTCCCCATACTTAATATCAAACTCTTATAATATTATGAAAAAAAAACAAATCGCAGTACAAGTCGCCAAAATGACCTATGCTACTGATGGCTTTGGCAATTTCTGTGCAAGACTGAGCTTCACACTCTCAAACGATTCCAGTTTAAGACGGACAAAAAAATGTCATTCTTAGCATGTGAAACAAAAATCTACTTTTAGGTTCTGAGAAGACGAGAGGAGAGAAGAGGTGCCAATGCACTCACGCATTTTTCTTTGGCAGGGACTGTGCTGCTTTTGGAGGTCTTCCTCTTCTTTTCTGCGGGGTGGATTCGACTGCTTCGTCCGTGGCTTCAGAAGCTTCTACCCTGCAAAGAAACAGGGAGAAAAAAAAAGCCAGTCTTCAGGCAGTCAGTCTTCAATGAATTATTCATCCATTCCTTATTAGTTAAGCCATCATCGTTTGGCTTGACTCATAAGCATACAGACCTCTGCTGTGACCTCCGAGGTGTGCGGGCCTGCCGCCCCCCCTTCTGCTTGACCTCCATGTTCTCGCTGTTGCGGTCCTCCTCTTCTTCGTCCTCCTCCGCTTCCTCTTCGGCAGGGGCTGCCGCCTTCTTGCGGCCCCTCCGCCCCTTGCTGGGCGTTTCTTCTTTGGCCGCGCCGCCGCTGACCGACTTCGGCGGCCGGCCTCTCCGGCCCTTCTTGGGGGGGCTGTTCTGCTCGTCCTCCGTCTCCAGGGTGCCGTCCTGTATCCTCTTCTCCTCCGCCCACTGCTGCTCCTCCGCCTCCCCCGCGCTGCTGTTGGCGGGCCTCTTGCGCCCCCGTTTGGGCTTCTGCTCCTGAGCTGAATCCTCCAGCCCTGAGCGGTCATCCTGACTGGAGGCCGCGGCTCGTTTTCGGCCCCGAGGTTTTTCACCGTCCTGCAGCGGAGTATCGATGAGAACAGAAATTATCCGGCTGGCTCAAGAGGTGGTGCACAGCACTTACGAAAAAACAACAAGCCACATTACAGGTGAGCTGGCCAGGGGTTAGGATTTGTCACGAGCATCGCTGCGCAGCTCAACTACTCATAGCTAGAAACAACCGTTGATTCTGAAGTGGGTGGGTAAAAAAGAATAAAATAATCAAAAAGTAAAAAAATTATAAAGGGCTTTTCTCAGATCAAGCAGTTGCACAATGATAAAAGAACATGTAATAAACGGTTGTAGAAACGGCCATAAAAAATATTCAAAACGCTGAAATTAAGAACACTGAGACCCCTGCTAAAGGCTTGGTTAAAAATACTTCTCCAGTGAACATTTCAGACTGGACCGAATACCTGAGCGCACTGGGAAGACTGGTACAGAATGCAGACACAACCTTTTTTGGGTGTGAACTGCAATTCAACGAGAAGCAAATTATCACAACCAAAGTTCCAAGTCTAATTGTTAGTACTTGCATAATTAAGAACTCATTCATAATTTTGTTATACTTTGCTTAAACATGGGCCAATGTCTGTAGCTGCATCTACACCCACCTTCAATTTAACAAAATAAATACCAAGAAATGTATATTTTTCTGATGTTTCAGTAGACTCCAGAAAGGGCACTTTTCAATTTCATATTGTTTTAAATCACAGGCAATTACATTTTAACTGGCCCTTGTGTTTTTCTCAATTATTACAAGAAATGAGCTTAACCAGCTGTCAATAATTCACCATGACTTTATACTTAAATAAAGCTCAATCATTAATCCACAAGTCGGAATCACTTTGAACGCTTCAGTTAGACAGAATTGTATATTTTGTAAGCTATGAATTAAACATCAAAAATATAAAATGTGGCAAAGAGCTGCTGAATGCCTTTGTAATTTCCTTTAAAATCTGATTAGGACTTCAAAAAAAAAGGGTAAGGATAGACACGTACAGGACAGTTTTATGCAAAGAGAATAAAAATGCATAAGGAGGGTGTTTTTTTAACACGTAATCCGTTTTAGGTACATGTTTTTTATGCTGGCGTGTACTTTCACAAGCACCCTGCCAGGGGCTGTATTTTCAAAACACCCCGTGGGAATCTGGTTACAACCCATGAAACGGGAAAACAAGAACAAATCCAGAATCTGAAGTGCACAGTTGCAAACTGCAAATCACAATTTCAATGGAACCCTGGGTAAGCTTTACTGTCAACACCTTACCCGAAGAGCTAATGTACTAATATGTGTCTTCACTGGTCAAGTGTTTAAATGCAACTTTTCTGGATAGATTCTCACTTTAAACATGCCCAATCCTCTGAAAAGTAAGACCATCAGGGGCTTTTCAACACCAGGGTACACAAATGCTGGGTTGTGGGAAGAAAAAGTATTTTCTTTCAGTTTTGTTTTTGCTAAATTTAGACACGATTGAGGCATATAATTTTGTTTACCAGGCTTATCTTTTTTGTGGAGTTTGAGCTTGAAAGTGAAGTCAAAGGTCAAACAAGTCAGAAGCAGTAAAAAGGGAGTTCAATGAATCTTAGAATCAAAATGATGGAAATAGAAAGATAAGCTAAGTAAAAATGAAGAAATAAGGAAATATTCCTATAATTAGATTTTATTTTTTTTTGCTCCAAAAACAATTGTACGAGGTCTCTTGATTTTCAGTATATATGTGTATGAAATTCAAACGAGGCACCATATTACTCTTCACAACTGTACTTAAAAAATCAGAACTTTATTACCCTTTATGCAGAACTCTTTTCAGCGTGGGAATGCTTTTCATTTTCATGTTAGTCATGTTCTCTGAAAAGAAATGACTCACCTGAAGATGAAAAAGTAGAACTAATAAGGTTTTAGTCCTTCTACACCAGGGAGTGAAGGAAAAGAATTTCGCAAACACTATCCGAACTGCTTGAAGGACATTTACACTTATTTGGCAGACAACTGCACTGCTGTATAGTATCACGACTTAAGGTTATACCTTAATAATAGAGCAAACCAGCAGGTGATTAAACAGAACTACTACCTGAGCAGAGGGACAACACTGTGGCATGTGATTAACTCTCAGACCCTTGGGATTACAAGGCAAGAAATAAACTAGTCATTTTAGAGATGGGACTTGATTCTAGAATACAGATCCTACAAGACATTTACAGAGTTAACGCAGAGGGACTATGGCACACTCAGGAGAGAAACAAGTACACTTTGGATGTGTGTGTATTTCATTTAGGATGGAGACTAGAACACTTTTCTTCACAGAAGGAGTTGTTGCACCTGGAACAGGCTTCCTAGCACGATGTCTGAGCCCCAAAGGTGAGGCAGATTTAAAAATTGGCAGGAAGAAATTCTAGTTTCACTTAGCAGTTAACAACCAAATGTGTAAGACTGCACTGTGACTTTATACACTAAGTTAGAAGTTTGCATTTTAAAAATAAATTTACAAAGCTTTTTAGAAGCCAGCTGCAATATTATATTTTGTCTTTCTGCCTATTGTCTAGATTGGAATAAGTAAAGGTTTATTCCATGCTTTACTCCAAGAAAAGAAAAGAGACATTTCAGCTGGGGAGCCTTCTTCAGGTGTCTGAAGAAGGCTCCACTGCCGAAATATTGTATCTCTTCTTTTTTCAGCATGGAGTAAACCTTTACTCGTTCCTTTACTGCCTACGCAGGCTGACACAACTACCTACTTGAACTTCTATTCCCTGGTCTGCCAAGCTTCCCACGTTTGAGTAACACAATCCTGGGCCATTTTTAAGAGGTTAAAATACCATACCCTCAGGAGATCCGAGTCGTCACGCTTGTCATTCTTCTTCCCTGGCATCGGAGAGCTTTTCATTATCGTGATGTCTTCATTTTCACTGTGATCCATTTCTGTGCTGTCAAGCCTGAAGGAGGTCATACAAGACGAGTACTTTTTTAGATAAACACTTGCTCACTGACCAAGGTCTTGACTTGTAGTTTCAAAGGTGGACAAAAGGTTATTTTTGTACATAACAGCCGACATTTTTAGAAATACTTTGTAATAAGGGGCACACGCTGAGAATGAAATTTAACAGCACAGAACATGGATACCATGTACATAACTCCTCACTGAATTACCTGCTAACTATAATTTGCTATTTCAAGACATTCATGTCATATGCAAATTCAGTATAATCTAAAACAAATATAAATAACAATAACATGCTTATTAGCTTGGAAAATGCTTTCCAGATTCTGATTTGATGTTTGCTTAGAATGAGCACAAATTCTGAATTCACACTGACTTGCAACATAATGCATGAGGACATTCATACAGTATTCAAGAGTTTCTGAAATCATTAAGAATTCCAAAATGCACCAGGAATGTGTGTGATTACACAGAAACCTGACACAGAAATGACCTCTTTCTGAAAGAGAAAAACTGTTCTGGGTTTGTATATGATAAGTGTTTACATACTGAGGGGCACCAAAAATACAACAAATACTATTGGTTTCAGTAGTTATTTGTTGCCATTTTTAATGCCTTTCAGTATATGTGTGCCGCCACATTTCTCTTATGGCACCTGGGACACATCCTTACACACAATATCAATATATTGTGAACAATATCCTGGCTTTTGGAAATACAGTTGATGCCTTTCAGAGTCCATATGTTATAGTTCTAACAAAAGAAAATACAAGGAAGCTTCACAAGGATGGCTATATATGTTATATGAAGTAATAAGTTAAACTGATGTTATTTGTGGGTATGTACACTTATTAAATATTTATATATATATAAACATAAGACTTGAGAATAGCAAGTGAAAGAGAAATAAAATTACAATATTCAAAGTAATTGTATAAATAACTGATAAAGTATTATAATTTAAAGCTTAAAAAATAAGACCTAATAAACAGCTCTCTGCCTGCATCATTGCATACATGAAAACCAGCCCTCATTGTGACCTCAAACATAGCTTCAGGAATGCAATCTCTTTTTTTAAATGATAATTCCTCCCCTAATCTACACAGTAGCTAATCTCAAAGTTTTAGAAACCTACAACATACTGCAAGAGTCCAGACAATGCACAACTATGACCTCTTGAAATAAAAACAATGCATGTGTCTCATACATTTTTTAGAATATTTTAAAAGTTTTTTCTGCCTACAGAAAGCAATGGTAATAAACTAAGGAAATCTTGTCTTTAGCAGTTCTGGTGTAAAACCATCGTTAGTGGAATATAAGAAACCGGAACCCTCATAAAATAGTTCAACCATTTCACACAGAATATGATTTTTATGGGGGAGGAGGTGTGACAAGAGAAGAAAGATCTTTTTCCCCAGTGTCATGTGCTCAGTTACCTTCCTTTACTCCTTCCAGGAGAGCTGGGGTTGGAGTTGCTGCTGGCGTTGCTGATCGTCTCCATGCGGGACGACTTGGTCTGGGACTGCTTCCCTGCTGTTGACAGGGGCTTGTTTACAGCCCCCAGGACATTTGCTGCTTTAGGCTGCAGGAGTATCAACAACAGCAAAATTCACAATCTGACCTGCAGGGGTGTGCTGGGGGCCCAGCCAGCACACTAGGGCCCTTTAAAGGCTCGTTCCTGACTCTCCTGCAGCTCATTTCAATGACAAGTGTATGTGGGAGACTATGACAGCTGCATTTTCTGCCTTTTGGCTCAACTGACCTTGGAAAAGTGTGAGGTTTTTTTAAAGACATTAACTGACTATTTTGAAACTTTTAAAAATTAAATTAATTACAATTCCAAAAATAAATCAAGGAGTCACAACTGTACTGATAACAAGAAGTGATTTAACGTCAACTGAATGCACTATAAAGCTGCGAGGGAGCAGTTGAAAAGTCCATGGTAACAAGCTCTCAGGCTTTTAAAATGAAACATTATTAGAATACCACCTTAAGGAAACTTGAAAAAAAAAATTCAATTGTTATGGCTTGGTCTTTTGGGGACCCTTAGTGTCAAATAGAGTATTTTTAAAATACATATTCTAGACAAGAAAATAAAAACAAATTGGTCGGTTTCCTCCAATTCATTTAAGTCGCAAATTTCTCAGAAGCCATGATCAATATAACACTGAAAATAAAAAAAAATGTGTAGTGTATTATTTACCATCTACATGTAGTTTTAACTCCTGAGCAATATTCCAATTATGGCTACAAAATAACAAATATTATAGAACTAGACATTAAACAACAAATATGATTTGGTAAGAAACAGTGAAGTCCAAGGGAGATCCAACTACACATTAGGTCTGGACAAAATTATGAGACTGTTTCTCAGTGTGACATCTATAGTCTTGGAAAGAGTTCCTGCTGCTAAGTTTGTTCAGAGTCCTTATGTTCAAGACATCCTTGGCAAAACAGAAATATACATTTTTAACACAGTGGTATGGTTTAAAGGTCTTACCTTTCCTGGGGTGAAAAAGGATTTCATTTCTGGAGGGAGATAATTTTTTGTATTGCTGAAATTCTGCAACAAAATAAGAAAGGATATTTCAAATTCATTAATGAGTTAAGATATCTCAGGATCCTCAAAACGATCCTGCTACTACTACTACTACAATATCTTCATCTGATACCACAACACTGACCTTGAATTATGTGTGCCAATTGCTCTAATTATGTGTGATATGATTCTATGCTCAGGCATAAAATCACTCTATTAAAGCAGCAAGATCCTGCATATCAAGAAAGGAGATTTAAGATGGTTACCACATTCTCTTCCACTGATTTTCATCCCTTAAGCAGAGGTTATTATGAATTACCTTGGAATAACAGAAATTTGCACATTTGGCTGAGCTGTTTGCAACCTATTACAGATACGTCCTCGCTGTTTTTAACCTTCTATTGTTATTATAGCTATCCTTTGTAATTTAAATTAAAAACACAGTGCGAGAAAACATGCACATTTCTGATAGTAGACTGGCAAATATGTTTGATAAAAACTCAAAACATAAGCACATGAATCAACAAGAGACATCTTTTCAGTGTGAACTGTGCCCCCTCTGCTGATGTGCACTCACTCCAAGCACCTCTGAGGAACACACTGGGCTGAATGAGAGGAGCTTACTTGAAAGACACACCTTGTCAGGCTGAGTGAAGAATCTAGCTGGGAGCACAGGGTCCTTAGGAGACTCTAAGCTGTATGTAGTACTCTTGGAAATGATGATGTTCATAGCCACATCACACACTGTGTAAAGTTTCTGGACAAAAAAGAAAAATGAAGATGCAAGTTGTGAAATGTACAGAAAACCCCCAATAACGCAACATAAAGCACCAGAAGGGTGGTTTCGTCTTAAAAAAGTGCTGTGAGCTGGAAGCTCTAAATTCATTGTTTGAACCGATTATGTCTGCGAAGTGAGGGCAAGTAATCAAAAATGAAATAGGGACTGAGGAAAGTGCCCAGTGATTGAAAATTAGACTTCAAATGCATATGTTTTGAATCGATATTAGTCTGAAAGCTAAAACAATGCACATACCTCATTTAACTTGGAATCATCCGGCCCCTGGGCATCTTTTGTCTGTTTAATGTTTTCTACCATTTTTCTAATGAATGCATGGCTATTATTCTCGTTTTTTGCCATTAGGATTTCTAAAACAAACCACAAACACCTGGGGATAAAAGGAAACAAGAAAAGGGGAAATAAATGAATGTTAATTCTGTAGAAGCACAGGTCATGGATAATAATCTTTCTTCGAGATTCGCAGATGGAATCAATGGTATCCTTTGCTCCTAAAATGTGCAGAATCTACAGTAGGTGTAAATCTAAATACATCTAAATTTACATCTGTGAAATATAATTTAAGAACACTTGTTTAAAAAATGAATTGCAATGAATATCTTTATACGTAATGGTTTTGTAGCATCTCAACCCCACCTTCACTCACTTCTCTTTGGCTCATACATTTTTCATTCTTCGGCTACATGATCATTATTTTTAAGCAAATGCTAAAACAGCAATAACATTTTAGATAGTGGATAAATTATTTTTTGCAGACCAGGAATCATCAAGAAAATAAAAACATTCAGGCACAACTTGACATAAATCCCTGTATTAATGTGACAAAAAAAAGCAGAGGTTGTCTGCAATCCAACTCACTCTTTGATGTCTTTAAGCTGCTCAATGTCTTGCACTTTGACATAATCAGGATCATGCACAAGGAGATGGATTGTATATGGGACCACATATTCTGGCAAGAGTGAGAATAACTTTTCTAAAAGTAACAAAAATGGGAAACAAAGGAAATTAGAAAAAAAATGAGCCCAAAACAGAATTCTAAAAAGGCTGGCGCTTTGTTATTTGACTTTTTTACTGGTAATTTTGCAAACTACAACAATTGTTATGTTAACAATCTCCTTGACAGACTTTTATAACAATGACAAGAGGTACTCTGCGATTCCCCAGTGCATTAATACCCTGGAAGAGTATCCTGACATTGTTTGCTCCTTTAAATTCAATTCTTGTTATATAATTTTTTCCCCCATTTTCAGACCTGTTTCTCAGAGTCTACTCAAACATTATTTTTAAATCATGGTAAATTTTGAGGACACAAAACCTTCTCTGTCGCGTTTTGTGCACCCACATCATTCACGACAGATAAGATACATTTTTGAGGGACTAGCTGACAGCACAGATGGTGAACCAATCCAGGACACAGCGCTAAGACTGTGTATTTGACACGTCCAAGTTCTATGAAGTTTCAAGCTCAGAATAACCGAATGACTACAAAAAGAAAGCCACCGCACACGAAGGCAGAGGGAGCAAGTGATTATTTTTTTCAGTTCTTACCACGGACAGCTGCATGCTGTTTCAGGTACTCTCTTCGGATGTTGATGTTCTTCACCAGGCACTGCCTGGCGTGGGCTCTTCTTTCCTTCATGGGGTCTTTGGCACACAGAGCAAATATCGCCAGGTACTCCAGGGGCAGCCGTAACCGGCACAGGCCTTTGTGCAGCTTCTGAGCAAAAGCTTGTCTTACCTGGTAGCACTCATCCTACAGAAAAAAAGAACGGCAAACACAAAGTCTAGCTACATCAGAAAGGGGGAGTGAGGAGCCGAGCTGTTTCAAGTGTTTTATCCTTCTGAAAGTTCCCCACAGTAAACTTGCTGGTTTCTTTATAATTTTCCCTAGGGCTTATATCATACAAAAATTTCAGAGTCTGTATCATGTATCACTACACTTCAGTATAATGATTTCTATATATATATATGTGCTATGTACTTTGCCGGCATATCACTTTTCTAATGGACAGCTTTTCTCTTTAGACCACTAAGTCAATACACCCGTAACTCATTTTACGAATCTATTTTCTTCCCAGAAAACGTTTCGCATAGCGAAAACTCACACAAGAAAAAACTAATTCCATTATGTCTTAAGGACAAACATTAAAATTCATTCTGGACCCCAAAAATGTCACCCCTACTATAACGTCTCACCAAAATTTGCCAAAAGGAAACAATAACTAACTTTCAGTGTGGCTTGTTTTTCTGTAATAAAAAACACTGCGTACCTAGTTAGACATCATTAATCATACCTAACTACAGTAGTGTAGAGTAACCACTTCGTTTGCTTTTTGTGCAAGTACACAATTTTCATTTTCATAACATCTTTCGGGTTCACGATGAAGTCTGAACCACAAATTGTCTTACGCGAAAAGAAACATTTTTGGATCAGATGCCGTTATAGGAGTGGGAGAAGAAGAAAAAAACATTTAACACATTTAACATGAGAGTAATGCATCAAGAGCCAGCATGTAGAAAAAAAGCCACCTGCTGCATCCTTACATTGATGACTAAAGCACACAACTGGTACTGCTCCAGGGTTATGATTTCATGATAACAGGGCTCCTGCGCTAGCTTGAGGATCGCACACCCTGCTGCCAGCCGCAGACGTGACATATCAGGCTTCCTGCAAGACACAGAGGCGTAGCGAGACGGGCAGGTCAGTCTACTGCACAACCTCATGCTGCGAGGCTCTGACAACAGGTGGAGAAGAATGTGCCAAGTTATCACTCTGCGCTGAAGAAAAAACGGGGAATCCTGCAGCACACTTGACAGGAGGGAAGCATGTGGAGTCAATCTCTTGCCAGGCAGGGTGAGCTTTTAATGATTCTGATTGTTACAGACAGAGATCATGTTTTTTTCGATATCATTCCAAGCATGTGATTTATATCTCTGTTCAGCAAAACACTAAAGGACATCTGTAATCACACAGCAGAAAAGCAAGGCACAAACCTTTTTGTCAGAGATAATGGTGTACATAAAGTGATAATCTTGTTCCTATGAAGCTGATGTAATTTGTCAGAACCTCAATGTACCGATTATTTGCCCTGGGGCTCAAACTATCAAAGAGCCAAAGATTTCACTTCCATTGCATCCTGAATATAAAACACATACCCCATTTTGCCCTGCTCTGTCAAGTCTCCATCGCTGTGCAGTATAGCCGTGAGCATTCTCAATGTGGAGTTCCCCGACTTGCTTGAATTGTTTTTCACTCCTAGCAGCCATCTTACCATTAGCTTGATGCCCTGAATCTGGAACAGAACAGAAACCACCCACTAAAGAACAGCCAAAGTAGAAAAGGTCTTTGGGCATAAATAACCAGTTTGTATGAATTTATTATGAAGCAGGCCCCTCTCATCTGCTTCATGTGCAAGTAACCCTTGTTACCCCAGCGAGATTCTGGGACACTGTCCCTACAACACAGCTGAACAAATACAAAGCACAGCTGCACAAAAGTTTCAGGCACATCGCATTGTTCATCTCTTTTCAATTTTTCTTCTTTATGCAGAAACACTGTTCTGTGTTGATCTTTGCTGAAATTTAAAACAAATGTGTTTTTTGTTACCAGCCAATTAGTTTTTCCATCCATTCATTTTCTAACTGCTTCTTCCAGTCCCCGAGTGCTGAAGCCTATCAAAGCAAGCTTATCTGTATTTTATAGTCCAAAATTAGTATTTTCGGTTTACAGCCATGATGACAGGAACCCAAGATGGATTGATGAGGAACTCCCTTTGATTTGGCTGGTAAACAGAATGGATTAACTACTACCACACTTGACTTTGTTAACAACAAATTATAACTTTTCATGAAGTTTACCCTTTTATATTTCTGAAGATCCTGATGAATGTGAACTAAACTAAATGTGAACCTGATGAATGTGAACATT